AGCCTCAACTCCAGGGGCCAGATGCTAGGACGGAAGCCAGTGGGCAGGAGTGCAGGCATCCAGGCAGGTCCAAATGCAGAGGGGAAGTGGGGATGACAGAAGAGCCAGGCCAGTCAAGGCCGCTCTCTCCCTCAGACTTGCTCTGCTCTCTGGGTTGAGGACGAGGGTGAAGGGGAGGCCAGGACTGCAACTCAGACTAGTGCAAGAGTAAGAGGAAGCCAGAGGAAAAGCAGTGTCAGGAGCGTCAGGTACACAGCACAGGCCTTTCCTTCCCATCAGCCCTCTTTTCTCACTGACATGGGTCATAAAAGTGTAGGCCTCACAGTGTACGGGTGCTTTGCAAGTTTGCACAGAGCAGGTAACACTCTGGAGTCAGGCCAGATGCAAAGACACAATGCTGATTGAGACAGGTCCCTTGTGCTCAGGGAGTTCACTGACTGGTGGGGAAAACAGAGTGCGGTGAACAAACGACTCTGAGAACACGGGAGTGAGGGGAGGCTGCAGACATGGGCCCTCTCATTCAACGTGGCTCTGCCGTTTCCTGACTCTGCCATCTTAGATGTATTGCTTAGCTTCTGTGAGTGTTAAGATATCCGGAGATGTCAAGAGTGCAATTATTGCTCTTACAGGATCCAGACAGAAACAACTAAAGAGAAAGATTTCTGTGGCTTAAAGTTTCAGGGGGTACAGTGCATCCTGGTGGGGTGACTCTGTGGCAAGCGGGGGGAGGTGTGGAACGTGTAGACCTCCCCACCTGGCAGCCAGACCAGGAAGAAGTAGAGGTGGGTGTAACCTTGAAAGGCCACCCTAGTGCCCCACTTCCATTTCCCAAGGGTTCCATATGCTCCCCAGCTGCGGACCAAGTGTTCAGACACAGGAGTCTGTGGGGGACATTTCACACTCAAACAGTAACAGAGCTTCGTTAGGAGCCCTACCTTGTGGGCTGGTTGGAAGAATGAAATGAGTTCATACAGTGTTTGGGCAGGCGCCTGGTGCCTCCTCATTAGTGTTATAGAGAACAAAGGAGACACCCAACTAACAGTCTCTGAGGGTTAGGGAAGTCTCCATTCAGCCAGAACATCATGCCAAGTCTAGGTTTCTCAACCTCAGCATCATGGGTGCTTGGAGACAGGTGATTCTTTGTGGTGGGCACTGAAGCAGGTGCTGAGCAGCAGTCTCCTGGCCTCTGTTCAGTAGATGCAGTAAGAGTCTTCACACATTGTCCCCTGGGCCAGAGAACTTGCCCTTGATGGGAACCCTGCATGTATCAGTAACTCTCCTCCTCACTCTGACCCAGTACCAGACAGGAAGCAGCTTAAGGGAAGAAGGACTTATATTGGCTCATGGTTGAAGGGGATACAGTCCATCCTGGTATGGAAGGTGTGACAGTGGTGAACAGCTTCTTTTTGCTCCTATCTTAGCAGACCAGGAAGCAGGGAGATAGGGGCCAGAAATAGGGCTGGCCTATATAACCCTCAAGACATATCCCTGGTAACCCACTTCCTTCAGCAAGGCCCCCTGCTCCTAAAGCTTCCACGACCTCCCAAAACAGACCCACTGACTGGAGACCAAGTATTCAAACACATGAGCCTGTGGAGATATTTCACATCCAAAGTATGGCACTGCTCTGACCTGTGTCATGAATGATATGGGTGATGGGCAGGGTAGTAGAGGTGATTCTTCAGAGGACAGCCATGAGTGAATGAGTGCCAGTAAGAGTGTAGGCGCACGGGGTGGGTGCTGAAATGATGTGCATCAAAGCTCAGTCCTCTTCCGGGCATCACAGAGTGGTCCCAGAAGAGCCCCCCTCCAAATGAATCCTAGAATCAGACAGTTCCCTGGAGCTCAGCACACAGACCACGTGGCTTTCATTCACAGGATTGCTTATACCCAAAATTGCTTTGAACTTTGCCAGTCTACCTTGATGGACATCACATGAAACGATCCTATCTTCAACTTGTTACTCTGGTTGGAGTTGTGTTACACAGACACAGTGTTTAGCACATAAAAGAACAGCATCTCTTGCTCATTTCATGCAAGCAGAAAGGATCTTTGGACATCTCTATGAGACTCCAGGAGCAATTTCCATCTGGCTACAGTGCCAGGAAAAGTGATGCTGTTGTGTGTTTCAAGATATAGAAGAGAGATTTTCTAGCGCATCTGACACAGAGATGATGAAGGCTTGAGGTGGTGGGCATGCTCAGTGCCCTCATTTGTCAGTTGTGCATGTATATATTTATGTGTCAAAATATCACACTGCAGCTCTTCAGTACAACTGAGTGTCAAAAAAAAAAAATCATGCTTTTCCTAAATGATTCATGTATTCACCAACCGTGAATCAGAACACTGACCATTTTCCTCTCTATTGTGGGTGCTGGGAAGGCTACCTGTGCATTGAAGGCTCATTTCTCGCAAGCAGAAAGGATCTTTGGGCATGAATTAAGGGTGATTTTGCCTACTAATATTTTCTTGATTTTTTTTGGTTATTTGTCATGAACTTATTTTTTATTTTGTGTTATGAATTTCATAAGTTATTTGGATCTTTCAAGAAACAAAATAAGAAATTGATATATTAGTAATAATAATAATAATAAAATGGAGACCAGGAAAGAGCTTAGTTGGTAAAAGAGCTTGCTATGCAAGATCTGAGTTCAATCCTCAGAACTGATATAAAAAGTTGGGCGTGGTGGTGGGTATTTGTAATCCCAGGGCTGACAAGGAGAAGATAGGCAGATCCCTGGGGCTTGAGGCTTGATGGCCACTCAATCTAGCCAATCCAGCAAGCTCTAAGTCAATGAGAAATCCTGTCCCCCAAAACAAGGCAGATGGTACCTACAGGGTCAAACACCGAGGTTGACCTCTCATTTCCATGTGCACATGGCACCTGCACACATGTATGTACATACAGATGCAAGACACTCACACACACTAATAACAAACACTGCCTGCTTCCTGGCTGTCTACTGCCACAGCCAGGCCTGGACTAACAAAGCCCTCTCACCTCCCAACTGTAAGGATCGCCTAACTGCCCATACTTCTCCGAAGGTCAGAGTCACTGTGTGAGAGCACGGCACTCTCATCTGGGATCTCCATCATTTCCATGACAATGTGTGGCATTGTGATGAGGACATAATTATAATTCAGTGCAGAAGGACAGTGACACAGATGGCACAGAAGCACCGAGAGGAATGGAAGGTCATCCTGTGTTCTTCAGTAATAACAGCGTCTCCTTGGGGAAGGGGGGGGGTCTGTGGCCCAGAGCAAAATACATATCTGCAGCAAGAAAGAGCCAGAACTTGAGTTATTGCTTAAATGATTTTTCTTTGTATTCCATCCTCCTCTTTAGAATTCATTTCAGACTGCAAGTTTCTCCCAGAAAATTCATATCGCTCCTCCAAAGGGTTCTGGTGGAATTTCAAATGAGATCCGCCCCCCGCCCCATCTTGACACCCTAGCAGGGAATAGAGAGTGCCAGGCACGTTGTGGGGGCGTGTTTCATTTGAATGTCGTGGATCCTCTTCAGATGCCCCTTGGGCAGGCCCTTCCCTGCCCTTCCCTGCGGTAGCAAATACACAGAAAGATGCATCGGGCAGCTCTTTTGGGTATGCTGTGGTGTGAACATGTCCCCAGAGTTCACATGTTGGAAACATAATCCTCAAAGTCATATGTGAACAGTGTTTGGGAGATAATTAGGGTTAGATGAGGTCATAAGTATGCAGCTCCATCACAGCATTAGTGGTTTGGAAGAGAGGAGTGGTCAGAGCTAGTTGGTTGCTCTGTCCTGGTGTAAGGTGTGGTGTGCCCTGTCTGACTACAAGGTCTCTGAAGACCCACAGAAGCATTCTCAGACTATATGTGCTGCCTCTTCTGTCATCACGAAGCCCAAACATGTTTAGAAATGAGTTCAGTAACTTTTCTAGTGCTTCAAAAACAACTACTACAAAATTGAATACCACACTAAAACGTCACAGCTCAAAAACACAAAGATGTTCTATGCTCACATTCCGTGGGATGGCTGGGCTTCACTGGGCAAGTTTTGCTTCGTGTGGGGTTAGCTGGCTGCAGAGGACCACCCTTCTGCCCAAGGTGACTCATGCATGGCTGGCCTTGGTGTTAGCCTTCACTGGGGCTCAGCTGGGGCTGCCAGCCAAAGCATTTTTGGGTTAGGATGTGGCCAGATCCAAAAGGCCAGGAGATCAAATCTGCCAGATCCCACAGCACGTGGACTTGATGCACAGAGCAGCATTGTACTCAAGCATTGCAGAAACAAACTGCTCACGGGAGGGCAGTAGTATTCAAAGAAGGCACAGGGACTGCCGGGGAGGGGGGAGCGTGTCTTCCAAACTGGAGGCTACGAATCCTTGACAGCATGTGTACCAGTCAGTTTTCCACTGTGACAAAATACCTAAGCAATTTGAATGGAGGAAAGGCTTATTTTGGCCCAGAGTTTCAGAGACTTCAGTCAGTGGCTCTGTGTGTGGCCAGCAGTGCCTCGAGAGCACAGGCTACCCTCCTCTACAGGAGGTCTGCTTACACCAGGAGGGCCAGGAAGCAAAAACAGAGGCACAAGAAGAGTCAAGGTTTCAGTATACTGCCACTGAGGACAGCTTGCCCGTGACCTGACTTCCTTCCAGTAGACTCCACCTCTCAAATAACGCCAAGGCTGGTGACCAGCACATAGGTCTTTTGAGAATCTTCCAGATCCATGCTATAGCAACATGTAATCAAAGTATCTGCGCAAACAGCTGGGGTGGGCCAGGGGTCCAGTGCTCGGGGATATGGGAACAGTGCTAGGATTCCTGCTTGCCTTCATACAGGGAATGAGGTGATCCTACAGTGTGGGATTGGAAGACCTTCTGCCCTTCACTTCCCACACCGTCGTCCCCTAGGCAACATCAGCAGCCTTCTGTTCTCAGTCTGCCTTGCTATGAAACGGGCTGATGGCTTTGAGGACACTAGAGGCACCTCCATCCCTAACCGGTGTCCCTCTGTGATCCTAGGTACTCCTTCCAGGATGAGGAGGACATGTTCATGGTGGTGGACCTGCTGCTGGGCGGGGATCTGCGTTACCACCTGCAGCAGAATGTGCACTTCACAGAGGGGGCCGTGAAACTGTACATCTGTGAGCTTGCGCTGGCCCTGGAGTACCTGCAGAGGTACCACATCATCCACAGGTAATGTCAGGGGGAGGCGGGGACAGACACCCAGGGTGGCAGGCACAGTAGGCAGCAGGAGAAGAGGACCTTGTCCTGGCACTGCTTAGCAGCAGCAGTGCATGATGACAACGAGAGGGAAACCGCTGTTAGTGCCTTTGTAATCCCTGCAGACAGCAGGCCGCCATGTTGCCTGAGGGGAGACAGGTGGTGCCCGCTGCCTGTCCACTGTTCTACACCACTGGAAGAGTGCAGGCCTGGCCTTGCACCCAACTGCCTTTGGCTTCTCTTTCCAGAGTGTCTTGGGGTGACTGAGCCTGGAAGACAGAATGTGATGTCAGAGGTTGCCTGGGACGCCTTAGACTCTAGCTCAGAGTCCTTGGGCCCCACTCATTCCTTACCAGCTCCCAGCTGGATGGGTAACAAGGAAGGATTGTCAGATACCCAGGCAAGTCTTTCAGCATGAACATCACAATTCAAACAATCCAATGGAGCAAAGCTAGGAATAAACAGGCCCTGGAAATGTCAGGTCAGTAGGGGCACAGTGGGATCTCCCTTCCACTTGTGAGTTGGGTTGAGGGATGCTGTGCTCGTCCTTCCCCTCCTTTGAAATCAGTGCTGTGCACTTTAGAGATTTCTTTCCCTGAGCTGCTCTAGTGCTGGTCTTGGGTTTTGGGTAGAAGCTTGGAGTTTCTGCCATCTCTGAGGGGGACCTTGACCTCTTCCCACCCGCATCTACCAGCACCACGGGTAAGCTCTGTGAGTGTGTCTGCAGAAGCAGGATTTTCAGGAGAGGCCTTGAGGACAGGCTTGGGAAAGCCACAGCTGCATTCAGGGCGTCTTCCTAGGGACCACAGAGAGGGGCTGGAGGAATGGCTCCATGGGATGACCGTGGTCACACTGCCCTCTGATCTGCTCCTAACTGGGGAAGCTTTAGAAGACTTGGAAAAGTTAAGGTCTTGGAGTTCTTGCAAGGAAGGCAGGTTAAACGTGCACCCCCTTACACATACATACATGCACACACACCACCTTAAACACACATGTCCAAACACACACATCCTCCTTATACATACACAAACACCCTCCTTATACACACACACACACACACACACACACACACACACACACACACACTATAATATTATCTTCCTTCTTAAAATCCCAATGAAATGACAGGAAGGAAATGTTTGAAAAAAATGACAAATCATAAGGACAGGGAAAACCGAGGAGAGAGGATGGCATGACACCAGGGAGCCAGGAGGATGTGGAGGGACAAACATTTAGGACAGCAGATATGGAATTTTAAGGTGTAACTAGCAGGGAATCAAGACAGCTAGACACTAGGGAATCCCCCGTGTGCTTCTGTCCCCAGCAGTTTCTATGGACTGAAAAGAGACAGCTTGAGCAGTAACTTCAGGAGGTGTGGAGGAGCCCAGAAGCCTCCCCATTCAGCATCCCACAGTAGCTCTCCCTCCTGGTTAGATAGTACACTGGAGGTGAGTCCCAGGAGGAAGAATGTGGTGGATGGGCCGAGCTGATGGACATGAGCCCAGCCTGATAGGGTATGGCCATGCAGGCAGAAAGATGCCAAGACAGACAGCAGATGCTAAGAAAGGAACCTCCCTGTCCAGAGAGGGCCAGGCAGTGGTGCTACTGGGCCTTCCCCCTACCCAGACAGAAAATGGGAGTGGATTGAGTCTAGAGAGAGATTGTGACATCAGAGGTTGCTTGGGATACCTTAGAATCTAGCTCAGGCCCTCAAGAAACACCTATTCCTACCAGCTCCCAGCTGGATCAGGAACAAGGGAGGACTGCCAGACACCCAGGGAAATCTTCCAACATGGATATCACGTCACGATCTGAACAATCAGTTGGAGGGCCAGCAAGATGGCTCAGTGTATAAATGAGCTTGCTGCTAAGCCTGATGACCTGCATTTAATTTCCAGGACTCACACAGTGTAGGGAGAGAATGGACTTCCTCACACATCCCTACTTAAAAAAAATAGTATAATCAAAAATTTAAGAACAGCAACCAAATGAGGAAAAGCTAGGAATAAATAGGGGTTCTAGAAATAGCAATATAACTATGAGCAGTATTCTAGATGATAATGGATTTTTCCATGAGAACATTTTCAAATTTAGAAATGTACATCAGAGTTTTTATAAATTAAAGCATGACAGGTGAAGTTGAAAGACTCAAAGGCTGTGTTAGAAGACAAGGTCTTTATATTCTCCTGGAACGTACAGGTAAAAGACAAAATGAAAGTGAGAGGAGAAAACTATAGGCCGCTCCAGAAAGGTCAACATTGGAAAGACAGAAGACAGGAAACATAGAAGAATTTTTAAGTCCCTCAGACCTAAAATATAGGAGTTTCCATATTGGAATAACCCATGGAGGGTTCTTTCAATGAGTCATGGTTAGAAACATGCAGCCCAGAGTAAACATCAGACCCTGGAAGCGCGTGGGAACGTGAGGAGCTTTTCAGGCACCAGGGCCAGTGCAGACTCACATCAGTGCATATTTACATGAGTTCCAGGTCTCAAAGGATGTGCCTTCCAGACACCCTTTCCAGCACCAGTCGGTGATCTGGATTCTTGGATGAGGAAGGGAGAAATGGAAGCCAGAGAGCTGGAACCTTGCAGGGAGGCAGCACAGAGAGGTCCCTGGGGTAATATGAAGGATCTCTGTGTTCTTGGGACAGACCACAGCCAGTACTGACTAGGGTACTGAAGACCCTGGGCAGTATTTGTTCAGGAAGAATGAACTGAAGGGATTACTGGCACAGCCTGTTGCCTGGGAGCAGTATTTAGTAAAGACTCAATCTGAATTAATGAGAAATTCATTCTTAAAAACTCAGTGATATAATAGATCTTAATCAAATTTGAACCTCCTCCCCAAACCAGATTTCAGGTATTTTGTCATATATGTTAAGTCCTATCCAGTCAAGCATTTGTACCCAGATGTCCCTTGATTCAAGTTCATAGTCCCAGATGTCCCTTGGTACAAGTTCTAGTCAGGCTCTCTGGAGTCACGCCCTTGAAGAAGATCTACTCTCTCTGACCCAGCAGTGATCAGGTGCTAATAGTTCTTTGGCGAGGGTTGGGGCCTGCTGCCCATTTCCTTCGTTCTATGCTGGGATTTTATCTGATTGAGTTGGCACAGGTCTTGTGCATGCTGTCACCATTATTGTGAGTTCATAGGAGCAAGTTCCCAGCGGCCTGAAAGCCTCTGTTTCCTTACGCTCATGCACCAGCCCTGGCTCCTACAGTCTGTCTGCCCCCTCTTCCACAATGGTCCCTGAGCTGTGCGTGGGTGAGGTTTAACATAGGAGTCCTATCCAGGAACACATACTCTGCAGCCTTTTATCTATAAAACTTAACCAGTTCTACCTTCTTTCCGCATCCCACTCTGTTGTATGAGGAAGCCTCACTGGTGAGAGTTGAGGGACATAGCAGTGTTCTCTCTGTCCCCTGTTCCACTGTGTTCTATGAGCCTTGTGTGTAGAAGTTCCACTGTAGATGTGTCACTTAGGACTGGGCATCCCTCAGACATATATTCTCTGTGTGTGGCCAGTTATGGGACCCATCTGTTGCAGAAAGAAGTTTCTTTGGTGAGTGGTGTACATTATACTTGTCTATAAATATAAGGACCATATTTAGCATGCAGTAAGAAATTTCATTTGTCTAGAGATGTGACAGGGATAGAGTTTTCTCTAGGACCTATGATCTCTCCAACCATATGTATTTGACTGTGTTTACAGTGCCACTCATGAGTTCCCTCCTATTGAGAGAGCTTTAATTCCAATTAGATAATTGTTGATTATCCCCTAGCCAAAAGTGATACTACTGACCCAATAGAGATTGTTTCTAGAAGCTTTCTTTATTGAACTGGTGTTATATATGCAAACAGTCACAGACCTTTCTTATTTCACTACAAAACTGCCTAAAAATGTGTGTACAAATGGTAATTTTTATAAAGCTTATTATTTTATCACTTTTATTGAATCCAGTAAGAAAGTAAGGAAGTTTTGTGTTATTTTCTGCAGCAGTATAACTGGTTTATGTACTGATCTTACTTTCACTTGGTAATATATTACTTCAGACTCTTTCTGCACTCCCCATTCATGCTCCTTATAAAAGTAACATCAGGATACTTAAAGGAGCCAGAGTTCTGATGCTTTGCCTCTGGGTGGGAAGGGGAGCACTGACTGAGCTCAACTGGAGCTTCACCTCGTTCACAGTTTCTTGTGGAGAAGTCCCCACTGGAAACACAGAATTATAAATTAGAAAACAAATCAGGTAGCTTGTAAGACGCTAGTCCCATGATGGCCGTCAGTTCTTGTGGAGCTCTGAAAGTACCTGGGTCTGTGTTAAATCCTTCACGGGTGTGACCTCACCCCAAACACGGTGGCTTAAAAGTACCAATATTCATTCTCTTGCAACTCTGCAGGACAGAGGACACAAATCAAAGCATCAGAAGGGCCACAGCCCTTCTTCATGTCCTGAGGGAGACAACTTCCCTGCTCTCTAGCTGCCCCGTTGATTGGTTCCTCACATCCTGTGGCTTGTGGCATGTCACTCCAGCCTCAGCCTCCATCTTCACACTGCCTGGACCTCCCTGGTTCAAATCTCTCTTAGACACCCGTCATTGGATGGGTCTGGCATAATTCCAGAATGATCTTGTCTCAAGAAACAAATTGAATGACATTTTCAAAAACCGTATATCCTAAAAGCTCATGCACAGATCCCAGAGTTAGGACCAGCATTTAGGGAACATAATTCAGGTCTGATTTGTTCATGCTGTGGCTCTGAAGTCATGCCTTTGTTAAGAACCTCCCTCCCCATCCTGACTGCTCCCATGAGAACCGTCCTCAGAGCACCCCATGAATTGGGCTTATACCTTAAGGAGGTATTGCCTGTGGTGACATCGGGAGCAAGAGGCATGTAGAATTTTAAGTCCCCAGGAGCTAACCTTCAGCATTTTCTAGTAGAGGAATGCAGCAGGTGCTTAATAAATATGT